GATGCCTGTAGTCCCAAGCCTGCCTATCAGTGATGTATCCACCCTGGCTTTGGGTTGCCTCATTGTCTCTCTCTTTTTCTCCTTCTGTGTATTTTTGATATATTGCAATCGCCGCCAGGTATCCTCTCCTCGTGAACTGAACCCCTATGTCGAGGCGGGTCCCTGACAAACATCAAAACTGGTAAAATGGAAAGTCAGCAAAAAAGATGAATACCACCAATGAGATGGGCTAACAAAGAAGCAATGGGCCTAAATGTAACAATTGTTAGGCTGGCATAGGACCGAGCAGTGTTTCATTCTGTTGTGCATGAGTAGGAACTAACTCCATGACAAACAATAACAAGAATAATGAGCTCTGATCAGAGCGGTCATTATACCCAATTACAATGAAGCTTCAAATCACGTGGTTTCATCTGCACATGTTACAAGCACTCTTGTTGCTGCAAATGTTTTTATAGTCACTGATTTTATTAAATGGTTTGGGCTTTAACTATAATATAATAGGAACTGCTAAGTGCTGTCTAGTTGGTTCCAACTCGTTGTTGTTGTTGTTAGGTGCTGGGTCTCTGGGAGTTGAGTGGACACCACCATTACTTGGATTCAAGAGTTGGAGCTAAAATGAAAAGGACCCAAACCATGGAGTCGATTCCAAATCATGGTGGCTGTATAGGACTGGGTATAACTGCCACATAGGGTTCCCAAGGCTGTCACCTTTACAGGAACAGACTGCCACATCTTTCTCCCTTGAAGTGGCTGGTGGATTTGAACTTCCAATCTTTCAGGTAGCAGTCAAGCACTGAACCACTGTCCCACCAGGGCTTTTTTGGTGCTAAAGTAAAGAAATGTAATAGCTATACTTGTTACTGTTAGTTTTTCTAATGGGAGTTTCATTTGCCCTTCAGCTTTTTGGCTCCTGTTGGAAGACCTTGGATTATTCCTACTCTTGGTTTTGTGTGATCCCATGGCAACCATCAGAAACCTGGTTTAAACACTTATGCCTGGATTCAGACTATTATATGAAAAAGAATTCCCAAAACCCAAATTTACCAAACCAACACTTTTTAAACACATCTAAAAGAGAATATAACAAAGGCTTTAAACACATATAAAATAATTTTATCATACTCTATTTCCTTGCTCTACAAATAAAATGTTTTCAAGTTTCAAAGAGATGAGATGGAAGATGAATAACTAAGCTTAACCCATTTTCACAAATAATTTTGTCCCTTTCCGTCAAAACAGAAGCTCTCTCTTTATTTCTTTCTAGCCAGTATCTGTTTCCCCATCTATCCTGTCATCTCTTTGTCTTCCAATCTCTGTTTTCGAGGTCTGTGTTTCTTCTCATTCCCACTCTATGCTTGCACTGATAGACTTACTGTCCATGTTCATAAAACCCACCAGCCTAGTACACTAATTAGGGCATGGGCTCTGGGATTCGAATTCTCGCTCTACCTCTAATTTACTATTGTGTATATGAGGCTTTCTGCTCCTGTAAAGATTTACAGCCTCAGAAACCCTGTACAGGGTTGCTATGAGTCGGAACCAACTCCACGGCACATGACAACAAATATTACTTAACCTCTCTGTGTCTCAATTATATCTGTAAAAAGAGAACACTCATAGTTTGGGCCTTGTAAGTTGCTATGAGGATTCATGAGATAATACTCCTACAGCTTTTAGCACAGTGCCTGGCACATGATGCACCCTCTATAAATGTGAATGATTATTATCATTGTCACTTTCATTTGGGGTTTTGTTTAGTGCACCATGAAAATAATAAATAACAAGGAATTCTGGCACTTTAATTTTAAAAAGGAAAAAGAGAAAGGGTAGTCCCGAGGTTCACGAAGTAATAGGCAAGAAGAAAGTCTATGGAAATGACAGAACATTTAAGTTCTGCTTTCTATTTTGTCCATGCCCTCTCCTTTAAGCCATGTCATAATGCAGCAAGGAGTCCTGGTGTGGCACTGTGGGTTAATGCACCAGACTGCAAAGCCATTTAAACTGCAAGGTTGGTGGTTCATGCTCACCAGTTGCTCCTCAGAAACCCTATACAGGGTCACTATGGGTTGGAACTGACTTGACAGAACTTAACAACAACAACAACATAATGGAACAAAACATGAGAAACAAAAAAAATCAACTTATTTTTTATTAGGTTGTGGAAACTGAAAAAACTTGCTACACCTAGGAAGAAATAGACTTTACTCACCTGTAGGAATCCACTTGATTAATTAAGGTTTGCCCCTTTTGCAAAGCATCAGCTGTGCAGTCTTTAATTTCTCTGTGTAATTCCTCATGCCTTGCGGCCAAGACAGGCAGACTTAAACTTTCTGACTTAAGGAGCTTAAGGTAAGCTTCAACTCTTCCAAGTACATCAAATGCCTGCCAAACAAAACATACTTTCATTTTCAGCTTTTATAGTTTAAAATCTACATTATCAACGTGTACACAAAATGCTAGAGATTAAGCCAGGCTGTTAAATGTATTAGTTTGATCACAACCAAAACCAACAACCATTGACTTGCAAAACAGTTATGTAATTTAAGAAAAGTGATCATCACTTAGGTTAGCAGAGACAACAATCAACACCATGTGATAATCAAAGTAGTTTACAATGAGACTATATCTACACAATATAAACAGTTATAACTGTACAGAATTGGAGAGTCAGGGTCTGGGGGCATTTATACTGTCTATAAATAATGGATGAGATATTTTTAAAATATCAGTCAGTTTTTATCACCTAAATGTGTGTCTCTATAATAGTTTTAAAAGGTCATTTTGTGGAGGAGCTGAATGTGTTACTTCAGCTGATGGCTGGAGCTCTGTGACCAGTTGGGTTTGTGACATGGCTGCTGTCCTTTCTGAATCCAGTGGGTTTCAGTGAAGAGAAAACCCAGAGAGCAATGGCAAGTTAGACACTGATTCCTACTCTGAGTCCTTTATTGTGTGGTCTGGTCATTACCAACAGAGAATTATATGTCTGGTGTTGCTAAGTATAGACAATGGTTAGAGATGAGTTATCCAAAGGAGTTTGTAAAACTTAGCATGGAAAATTCACCTAAATAAGATGCTGGGATTAGTGAGGATCAGGAAATGGCAGAGGAAAAGGGAAAGAAGAAAAAGTAAAAGACAGGTTGTTCTTGAGTGCCAATGAGTCAGTTCTGACCCATAGCAACCCTATATAGGGTTTCTGAGGAGCAGCTGGTGAACTTGAGCCACTGATCTTGTGGTTCAAACTGACATTGCACTCTAGTGCATTAACCTGCAGTGCCATACCAGGACTCCATAAAACAGAGGTGGAAGACCGTACCATAAAAGGTGACAGTAGCTAAAATTCCCAGAGCAAAGAAAAAATATGAAACAAGAGTGTGTAGCCTTGCAATTTTTGAAATTAATTTTAAGGAAGCATAAAAGTTTTTTGCTCAGAAATTCTGTGGCAAAGAGAATGAATGAGATCATCATTCGGGGAGACTTTACAGATGACATAATTGAGGTCATTCAGAAGTAAACAGAGATGGACGATGACAGCATTGAAGATATTAAAGAAGCAAAGAAATTATTCTGAAAATGTGTCTGATGATCTGAATTGACAGTTGACACAGCCAAAAAGAGGGAGGCCTTTATATATATATTTTATATATATATATATACATTTACATAAAACATATATTTATCTTACTGTATAAATGTAGACTCCTTGTTCTTGGCATTTTCACTGTTCTGTACAAGGCTGTGTTTTTTGTTTTTTTTAATCACCTAAGTCTGATAAACAGGAGAGCAGCCATGTTTACACATGAAATAGAATTTAGTCAGAAATTTTTGGCCATCTGAAAAAAATTTTTTTTCTCAGTATATTGCTATTTGAACTCCAAACACTATGGAGAAACAGCAAATTATTAATATGCTTTTCCCTCTGACTTTTCAAGTCTAAAACCTCTGGCATGCTTCAACCAAGGCATCCATCTGTCTACAGAGAAGATTAGAATTTGATCCTAAATAGTTCAGAGAGAAAGATCAAGGCGATATTTCATTTCTTACATGCAAAATAGGATTATGCAGAAGGCACATAGCTTTGAAAACTAAGGTACTGTCTTGAGAGGAAATCTTATGAATTCCTTTATTTTCTTTCTTTATTAGCAGATCAACAACCAAGCATGGGGGATTAAGTTTATAAATTTTACATAGGAGGAGAGTCAAGAGAAAGTATCCCTTTGGCCATTAAGGCTTTGCTGGTATTAAAATAGAGAAGTATTAATATAAATATTAATATAAAATCAGTAAAAGAAGACTGTGGAAGTAGAAAACCATGGAGATTTCAGTGGTCTTCTTGGATCTCCTAATATTGCTATTCTTGAACTTTGAGCTGGAAAGCAGGAGATAAACTAGGTAAACTAACTGAACTGAACATTAGGGGGTTCTTGCCATATTGCCCTTTGGAGCTGTTGAAAAAGGCAACCTTACAAGATGTCACATACCAATCTGTGGAACAGCCTCAACACATAAACTTGATTGCCACATAATCCAGGTAGGGACTTGAATTCTAGCCTTCCTGGATTACTGAGTTAGAAGCCATTGAGCTCGACAGGGACCCACCATAATGGAGAAGGAAAATTCAACAGAATATGCAGGAGGAAGATCCCAGGTTTTGGGAAATGAGAACAGATAGCTTCATGAGTCATGCACCACGGAGATTTGAGAAAGGCCAGGATAACAAGGCTGAACAGACTGAGAGAACACTGTGAAAGTCCAATGCAGAGGCTGTGCCTGTGGAGATGATAAAAATGCCTACTCCCCTCCACCTGCTGCCATCTTGTAGTTGTTGTTAGTAAGTGCTGTCCAGTTGGTTCCAACCCACAGCAAACATGTATAGGGTTTCTGAGGAGCACTGGGTGAACTTGCAGTTCAAACCAAAATTGCAGTCCAACTAAGGAATGAGTTTTAATGACAGAATTGAAACTGGGAAAATTTAAAATTTTCAAATAACATTTCTATTATTTATCCTATTACATATAAGGAGCCCTGGTAGTGTAGTAGTTACTTGTTGGGCTGCTAACCACAAGGTAAGTAGTTCAAATCTATCAGTCCTCAGTAATAGAAAAATGAGACTTTCTGCTCCCATAAAGATTTACTGCCTCAGTAACCCTATACAGGGTCGCTATGAGTCAGAACCAATTCTAGGACACACCACCGCCGACCACCACCATTATTTATATGCTGATGTTCGGTTCTCTCAGCAATGTCTCATGTCTTTTAGAGCTGTTATTTCTGTTTACTTACAATGTTTAAAACAAAACCATTCCCATTTGTTCAGCACCTGATAGAAAGTAATAATAGCTATACTGTGGTTCTCACAATTGCTTTTTATGCAGTCAGAAAATATTTTTAAAATATAATACCTGCTGAGGTTTAGATCCATGCTCCTTAATAGACTTCAGAGGGAGCAAGAAATTATCCATCATACAATCGGGAAATATCCTCCAACAAATTAAGTAAAATAGGGGCATTTCAGGTATGAAATTTTAGGTGGGTAGAGTGGGGTTTTAAAACAGTTTTTATAAATAAGTTTCTGTCTTTCTTTCTTATAGGTGAGAAAGAAAGCAAGAAAGGCTGCGGGATCTCTCTTCTGCTATGTAAGATTGTAAAAGAGAAAACATTTTATTTAAAAAAACTTTGAACCTGAAGTACATTTCCTTATCTGATCTCTCCTCATTCCCAAGGTTGACAACTGGGCCCAAATGGAACAAGTTGCTGATGTTTCCAAAGTACATAGTTTGAACTACTCTCTCAGTCCTTCCATAACTCACTAAAACATCACTTGGCACTCTCCACTGTTTCTACAATTTTGTTTTCGATTTTAAAGTTTTATTGCTTATTTTGAATGAAACAGAGTCTTGTCTTAACTGAGGGTTAGCTTTAAAGTTAGTGCATAAAGCAAAACAAGGCTTGTTGTTCTTGTTAAGAGCTGGCAAGCTGATTCTGACTCATAGAGACCCTGCATAGGGTTTCCGAGGCTGTAAAATTTGTGGGAACAGAAGTCCTCATCTGTCTCCCACAAAGTGGTTGATGGGCTCAAACTGCCAACCTTGTGATCAGCAGTCCAGCACATATTCTACAGAGCCACAGTATTCCCATATAAAGCTTAGCATTTATAATAACTCATACTTGCATTTGGGGTTGAGAACCACTTGTCTCGACTAAAGGATGTAGATGTCAGGCACTTACACCTTTCTTCCTTTAAAACAATTTAAAATGTATAGTTTAAATACAGAAAGGATGGAGAATTCAAAAATATTTTTTTCTTGCCGAGAAGTTTAACTTTATTCTGTTTTAATACTAAGCCATCATAACCTTCACACATATTGTTTTGAGAATTAAACAAGAGAGAATATATCAAAGGAGCTCTGGTAGCGTAGTGGTACGAATCGGGCTGCGAACCTTAAGGTCAGCGGTTCGAAACTACCAGCCGCTCCGCGGGAGAAAGATGAGGCTTTCTACTCCCGTAAGGATTTA